GTATTAATTACTATATTATCCTTCGAGTGACACCACAACACAAAACGCAAACATGTGCCGATCTCATGTCACCGGCGTGTACACTTTACTTCTACTTGCCCCATAAGGTCCCTAAGCATAATGACTTTCAATCAGCGCGGAAGCAAAATCACAGCACGACATAATAAACTCAAAGCATATTAAAATTCAATCGCTACAGCATACCAACAGATATTTTTCTTTTTCGATCCATACAATGTACTACCATTCAAAACACAACTAAATTAACTATTGTGCTCAAAAGCTTTAATTTCTATAAACTATTGCTACTTCATGATAGCTTATGTTCAGTAATCTTCATAAAGAATTTTCGCCTATAATACGAGGCATATGCCAAACGTCTAAATTAAGTTATAACTTCAGAACTTTACATAAAAATAATTCATTCAAACTGAATAGCATAAAAATACGACTTTAAGCAAATTTTATTGTCAAGATGACATAAATGAGAAAAATTACAATTTCAAGCATATTATTTAACATGCGCGTGACAGCAGCTTTTAATACATTTTAAAAACGATAAAAAAATTGTGAGAAACAATAGATATTTTTTAATGAACGTGTGAATTTTGTCCTTGTGGTGCTCGTGCAAAACACGGTTTAGCAGCAAATAAAACATTAAAGAGCAAACATGTAATTTTACAGTAAAAAAATCTATGAGAACGTCGCATAAAATAAATTATATGATTTAAACAAAAGATTTAATACTCGAAATTTACATAATTTAAAAAAAAAAATGTCTAAATTTTCAAATACATGTACGAGGAGTTTTGAATGCATACACAATGTAAGAAAAATATTTGATAAATAGTAATAAAAATATAACATTTGGGTATAAATTTTCGATTCTGTATGTCAAACTTACACTATTTGTGTGTAAACGTGTATATTAAAAATATATTGACGCATGGGATTTTCAGAAAAATTTCTTACAATAGATAAAGCAAGGAATATTATTTATTCTTAATAAAATATTTTAATTTTAATTAACATAATTACATGCAAACCAATTCTAGATTTTAATTATATTTTTTAATGTAACGAGGTTTGTTTTTGTTATCACATACCTTCGTTTTTAAATGGACTTTAAATGCGAGTACAGATAAAATTGTATTAACCCCCGAACACCTATGATATATAGTATTACATTTTTAGTTATTATTTATAATTATAATAATAGTATTTCATATATATTTTTTATCATTATTATTATTATACATATATTTTTACAAGGATGGAGTTGTTACGGAAAAATATAAATACCTATAGTAAAAAAGTTATTTTAATTGATTTTGAAATTTTCATTGGAGTATGATGATGATTCATTGTATTATATACATGTGCACGTTTAGCGTGCATGAGATATGATTATAAAGAGAAATTTGTTTTATCAACATATTTATTGATCAACATGAGTTTGGGTTTTATTATTTACTAGTGAATAATACAATAACAAGCGAAAAATTATAAGTAAATATTAATCATCAATTTCGTTGAAAATTTATATAAATAACATACTGTATTCAAATCGTTTACTATTGCTAATAAATGATTATTATAATTGCGACGCAAAGACGATGTAACAATAATTTTGATGTAATATATTAATGCTTATGCGTGTAATTCCATAACATAATTTAAAGTAGTATGCAAAAAAGAATTGAAAAAATATTCTCTGAAGAAATTACGCCAGTTCTATTATCAATAATAAGACGGGCCAACTAGTCTGTAAATCGCCAATTATTTACAAGTAGCAACTAAATTGGGCAACATAAAACATCTTATAGAATTTGAAAACATAGCTAACGAATGAACAAATTTTTAACATATTTTTTACAATAAGATTATGTTTTAAATACAAATAGACAGCAATCCATCAAATCAGATCACAAATTGTTTAAGGGAAAAAATGACCTTAACGGTTAATTAGTTTTTAGAAAAAATATGTACGTATATAAAGTTACTCTTCTAATGAAATATAAGTACACCAAGAATCATATATTATACACGTAGTAAATTCATGAGAGTGTACTATTTTTTATTTTAATATCGAAAAGCCCAAAAAGTAATGTACTGTATTGTCAATTTTATGCAACAAAAAANTGTATTGTCAATTTTATACAACAAAAAATATTGACTAATTTAGAGTGGGAAAAAATAATTGAACCCAACCTTACATATTTACAAATGATTTGTTTTAACAATAACTCGATAATTAATATAAACAAAATACTAGATGAAATGTAATTTATTATATTCATTTAAGTTAATACCAATGAATTATTAATAATTCATATATTTTGGTTAGTTTATAAAAAATTTAAAAAAAAAATTTATTTTTTATTTTTTTAGTGAATGTAATAAACTTTGAATGCAAATAATGTATACAAACTAATGCATATCAAATTTTGTGTACATCTACACACCATCAATAACAAAATGATCATATAGTAACACAACAACAGTATGAAAACCGTAGAGAAGAAGGTATTCTAATTGACACAGGTATGCTTAATAATTTTCGGACGGCTAAAAAACATTGTTGGGAGTACGCGCTTTTAATACGGAACAAATTAGTGGGTTACAAGAAAATTCTACTCTCCTGTATACAATAGCACATCGAGTGTGACCAGGTGTAAATGAAATGAATAAGGTAAAACATTAGACAAAAAAAGTACACTCAACAGAGGTCTGCTGAAGATTTGTTGTTGATTTGACACGGTAACATGACATTGCGACGCAATACTCCGATAAAAAAATCAATGACATCAATTACAGTTTTTACTTCAAAAGCGCTTTAAAAATCTCAATATGATATTGACAAGTTGAAAAGTTTAATTTTCAAATGCACATAATATTACCATAATATGTGAATGCACCGACCGGATATGCGATAGTACATTATCATTAATCTGTATAACAAATAACGTTGCATAATTATCCCTGATAAGCCATAACAATAAAACCGTTTTTAAAAACTTGTCGAAGGAAAAATAATCAAGGGATTCATAATAACATCGACTAAGCAAAAAAAATAACAATGGGTTATTACGGAAATGTGCCCAAGAAATGAACCCAAGACCAGCCAGTTAGAGGTTGAATATTTTTTTCAATTCGCTAATTATTTTTTGCATATTTGCAAAACTTATTCTAACTAACAAACATTGTACTACCTTATTATGGCCAATGGCTTATTTTTCCACATAATCACTTTTTTTTCTTGGAGCTTTAATGAAACACATTCTAAGCTAGATAATTTGCAAAACGCAATACTCGTTAGGTTTTTCATAATTTCAAAACAATAGGTATTTACAACAATATAGTCAACATTTATGCTTGAAATTTGAATGTCAATTCAACAACTACTAATAATTACAATATTTTATGCACATTAGTTAAAGTATCGGTTTCGCAATTATTTAATACTTCTTTAAAGATGGATTTGAAAATTATTACATGTAAAACAACTTTTTAAAATTCGGTAATATATTCGGCACGTGTAGTCAATAACACGTACCTACTAGTTTATATTATGCTCGTAATTATAAGACGTGTCATAATGACATTACGCCGTAATAAATTATTGAATCTGTTAAAACTTTACTACCGCTAATTTGATTTTGTTTCATTAGCACGGAGCAAAAGTTATACGCTAATAAACAATTATAGTTAAATATAAATTGCTCATAGCCGAAAAAATTTCCCTGTGTTATAATAAACTATAAATAAGATAAAAATAATAATACAGAAACCAGACATGGGCAGTAAATGTATACAAATTAGTGTTTACCTGTCAGTATGCAGGTTAAACGGCTATATTAATTTATAAATTATTTATCTCATGAACTTTGCCATTAATTGAGCGGATAGCACTTTTTAGACGCCCGAAACATGATGAAATCTTATTGCACGGTAAATCATGTAATACACTAAAAATTATTCTACACCTAAGACGCATAAAAAAATAACTATTAATTACATTCAATAGATGAATATGCATACGACTAAAGTTGTGTACACATACGAATTATCTTCAACGTATTTATTTTTTAGAGTTGATCATACAACTAGCAATTCATGTTAGTTGAACACAAATCCATACCGTTAACGGTTATCCTGTCTAGTATCACACGTATGATCATGTATTACATAAAATATAATTATCGTTATTTCATACTGCTAGATCCAACTGTTAATATTAAGCTTAGTATACTTTCGGACTGGATAACACAGATTTCTACTTTCTGCACGTACACATATTACGTTATCCTCACACGTGTTCATGTTACCCCATAAACAATTCATAAGATGTACTATTTTGTCTACAAAATCTTGTCTCGAATAACCATGTTGCTTAGGGATTCAAATGATTATCTAATATCTCAAATAGAAACAATGCAGAATTACCCTAAATCTCTGTAATTTAACCAGAGCCCGTCTATGCAACCCTAATGTTTGATCAAGCAAACCTGCGAACTCATAGTTTTTGAAGCATTACACGGTATTCGACTTAGGTAAACAATGACAGCGACTTCTGTAACAAGTATCGGTATACTAAGCCCACGCGTTAACGTATTTACATGTACATCAAACCCACGAACAATTTTTTACAGTAACTTTTTACATATTCTATGTAATATACTATGTGCGAACGCCTCGGGTTTTGTGTACATAGATATAGACGATTAATAAAATGAAAACAATTTGTTAGGTAGTACTTATAAGTTAACGAACTACAACTTTGTAATACTAGTGTAACTAATATAATAAGATGAACATTGCAATGTTCTTCAAAACCTCAACACGTGGGACGACTTTAATACTGTGTAATAAAAAGTACTATTATGCGAAGACGCCCATTTGAGGAAAGAGTATTATTGCGGTAAAAATCGCGCGGGTTAACTTTACCGAACATTAACTAGATTAATTTAGAAATAGCTCAGTAATCATTTAAAATTTACCTTTAGCGATTCCGGTGAGAACATTGCCCAGGTAGACAACCTTGTAGCAAGGGTCGTATTCTGTGATAGTTACAGATCGCCTTCGCCATATCTTACCCAAGCCAAAGGATCCCAAACTGATGCTCTTCTTGAACGGCTTTGCTTTGCCATCCGTAATAATTTCCGGGTGTTGACTGTCGTGTTTCATCATGAAACCAGCATCAGACACACCCCGATATTTAATATCTGAAAAAAAAAAATAAAAAATAATTAGCACAAAAGTCAAAAAGATTTCCTGAACTTAACAAAAAAACACAATACCTAAACGCATAATAAAAATAGAAATATACGTAAAAAATAATCACATCAAACTCAACTTTGCCGATGTTCGTTTTTATAAGTCTAACTTGATAGTGAACGTATAACGGTAGCACGAGGAATGAAACAATATAATATAAATTGAAATGAACTGCTCACTCGCTCGCTGCTGATAACAATATTAAATATCATCACCATTGAAATCATAATACAGATGTTCGGGTTTCATTTTATCATTATTATGATTATAATATCATACTTAATTACCGCGTGTAATTTTATAAATAATGTATACTGTTTCATCAGATCAAGTACTGTTTCAATCGCCGTAAACCACGCCCACTATATCGTTTACATGCTCACAATTTAGAAGTTTGAATTTATATGTAAATTTTATTGGCTCAAATTAGCATTAAATCACAACAGATTAGGATTCATGTCGACCCATCCATTTGTCGTATATTACTAAATATACATGTTAAAAAATATATATTGTCTGCACAAATACTCTAATAAACTTTTGTTACATAACAAAATTAATAATTAAGCTCAAAATTGCATAGACATGGAAATAATTAAAAATGCTTACTTGTCATTGTGCTTCTACAAATGTCTCACAATAAGTAATATATTTATGAGTATAATAAGTAAATTTAAAAACAAGTTTAACCATTTTTAAAGAAAATATACCATGCCAATGTTTATTTTTCTATAATTTTTAAAAGCAGTGCTAAAAATGATAGGAATAAAAACTTAACATTTACTTTTACAGCAATGATTCGTCAAAAATTAAAATTAAATTGTAATTTCAATTTATTGTGACCAAGAAACACAAACGAAGGTTAATATATATTGGAAACAAATAATAATATAATACATAATACGTCTGCAGTGGATTAATTATTCAATTAGTAATTTTTAAGATAATCATAGAAAATAGTCAATTAAATCACATAAGAAATAAACTAATAATAGTTGAAACTATTATAACTCTATATATGCATAATAATAACTATTACTGTTTATCTATACATAAATTAATTAAATAAATTTTATCGAAGACTACACCAATTAATGAAAATATAACAAACAGAAATTGTCTACTATGTATGAAATTCTAGAATAGGGGATTCATTTTTTTCCATTTAATTAATTTAATTTTCTATTACTTAGCAAAAAAGGAATTTCAAAAATCATTATTGTTATATTTTATTTATGAAATGCAAAAAAAAAAACC